TTAACGTTTTATTTATTTTTGAGACAGAGAGAGACAGAGCATGAACGGGGGAGGGGCAGAGAGAGAGAGGGAGACACAGAATCGGAAGCAGGCTCCAGGCTCTGAGCCATCAGCCCAGAGCCTGACGCGGGGCTCGAACTCACGGACCGCGAGATCGTGACCTGAGCTGAAGTCGGCCGCTTAACCGACTGAGCCACCCAGGTGCCCCTACATTGGTCTTCTTTTGCTCCCTCCAACCCTTGCAGCCCTTCTCCATTTCAGGGTCTTTGCATCAGCTGCTCTCCTGGCCTAGAACATGCTTATCCCAGCTTCTCACGTGGCCACTGCCTTTCCCTTTAGGTCTCAGCTCATGTGTCATTTCCTCAGAGAGCCTGTGCCTGACCACTAAATCTACCTCTGACGCTGCCTGAGCCCATTACAGCACTTATTAGAACTTCCAATTTTTAAAAAAATGTTTATATTTATTTGAGAGACAGAGAGAGAGAGCACACACGTGCATGGGGGAGGGGTGGCGATGGAACAGAGGATCTGAAGAGGGCTCAGATCCTAAGCCACCCAGGCACCCCTAACTTACAATTATTTTATACATATGCTTGCTCATTTTAATGTTTGTGTCTTCCAGTTACATTCTGTATAAGCTCCATAACAGCTGATGTCACCTATGTCTGCTTCGCTCTTATATCCCTCAGACTAGTACATGGAAGCACTCAAACATTATTGAATGGCGTCTCTTTCAGCCCTATCTGCCCCGGCCGTTCTCTGGTGGAGGTCTCAGCGTCTGATCACATTTCTCCTGTAGGCTGCCCACACCCGCAGCCCACATGCCCTCAAGGGAGTTGCTGTTAACAGGGTCCTTCAGACTTTTCTCACTTCCCTCACACTGCATGGTGCCAGGTATTAGGATCAATAATGGTAAACTCTGTGTCTGCCCTTGTTTGGGTCCAAACTGAAGTGTACCTGGCAGCTGTTCTCTGAAGTTTGATAAAGACTCGTCCCAGCAATTAAGCTGCCTTCTCTCTTTTTGGTTCTTTCCTTTTGTTTTTTTTTTTTTTTTT